CTTTACTTTTCACACACCAGGGCAGGATTGACTTAGAGTCTACACCAGCTGGGAGGTGCAACGGATCCGTTTTTAAACCCGGTTCTGAGACGCTTCACTGCAAATCTGAGCAAGGATGTTCAGAGCTAACTAATCTCAAGAAAATAATGATTTTAATATGTTTGTGTAGCTTCTCAATCTGACAAGACAAAGAACTTTTTAAGGCAAAGGTATCCTAGAAAGGGTTTCGAGATGTTCTGAGCATCTACAGTACAGGCCAACAGTTTGGACACACCTTCTCATTCAGCATGTTTTCTTTATTTTCATGACCATGACCATTTACAAAGGGGCCAACAAGTGCTAAACACCTCTGGGTACTCCTCAAGACCGCTAGACAACCATTCCAGGTGACTACCTCTCGAAGCTCATCAAGAGAATGCCAAGAGTGTGTAAAGCAGTAATCAGAGCAAAGGGTGGCTATTTTGAAGAATATAGAATATAAAACATGTATTCAGTTACTTCACTTTATTTATTTATTTATTTATTTATTTAGGTTAAGTAAAAAACTCTACAAGTGTTCATTCATAGTTTTGATGCCTTCGTGAGAATCTACCAATGTAAATGGTCATGAAATAAAGAAAACACATTGATTGAGAAGGTGTGTGCAAATTGTATTGTACTGTGTATGGCATAAAAAACTTTGTTGGCCCACATGTTATGGATCTGTCTGGTGTTCATATCGTCTGGATGTTCCCTGTACATCCTGAAATGTGAGTGGTGCTCTAACATCCTTCTTTGTTGTTTCTTCTTGTACAACAAAAGCGTTGGCAGTAACTTAGGCTAGTTTTAGTGGTAGCTCGAGCTAGTGTTAGCAGAAGCTCACGCTAGAATTAGTAGTAGCTCAGGCAAATGTTAGCTGTAGCTCAAGTTAGTGTTACCAGTAGCTCAGGTTAATGTTAGCTGTAGCTCAGTGTTAGCAGTAGCTCATGCTAGAATTAGTAGTAGCTCAGGATAATGTTAGCTGTAGCTCAGGTTAGTGTTAGCAGTAGCTCGGGCTAATGTTAGCTGTAGCTCAGGTTAGCATTAGCAGTAGCTCAGGCTAATGTTAGCCGTGGCACAGGTTAATGTTAGCTGTAGCGCAGGTAAGTGTTAGCATTAGCTCAGGCTAATGTTAGCTCTAGTTCAGGTTAAAGTTAATTGTAGCTCAGGTTAGTGTTAGCAGTAGCTCAGGTTAGTGTTAGCAGTAGCTCAGGTTAAAGTTAGCTGTAGCTCAGGTTAAAGTTAGCTGTAGCTCAGGTTAGTATTAGCAGTAGCGCAGGTTAGTGTTAGCAGTAGCTCAGGTTAGTGTTAGCATTAGCGCAGGCTAATGTTAGCTGTAGCTCAGGTTAGTGTTAGCAGCAGCTCTGGTTAGTGTTAGCAGTAGCTCAGGTTAGTGTTAGCAGTAGCTCAGGTTAGTATTAGCTGTAGCTCTGGTTAGTGTTAGCTGTAACTCTGGTTAGTGTTAGCAGTAGTTCAGGTTAGTGTTAGCAGTAGCTCAGGCTAATGTTAGCTGTAGCTCTGGTTAGTGTTGGCTGTAGCTCTGGTTAGTGTTAGCAGTAGCTCAGGCTAATGTTAGCTGTAGCTCAGGTTACTGTTAGCAGTAGCTCTGGTTAGTGTTAGCATTAGCTCAGGTTAGTGTTAGCAGTAGCTCAGGTTAGCGTTAGCAGTAGCTCAGGTTAGTGTTAGCAGTAGTTCAGGTTAGTGTTAGCAGTAGCTCAGGCTAATGTTAGCTGTAGCTCAGGTTAGTGTTGGCTGTAGCTCTGGTTAGTGTTAGCAGTAGCTCAGGCTAATGTTAGCTGTAGCTGAGGTTAGTGTTAAGACTAGAATGTTCTAGCTTTTAATCACATGTATGCATTTTTAACATGACTGCCTCACATATTGATGCGACACATTTGCAAGTAGCATTTTTTTTAGTGAAAAATGATTAAACATCACTTCAGTCACTTATTTATTTCCTCTAAAGACACCAGTACAAATATGTCTCCAGTATTTTATATTGTTAGACAGCCATATTTGTCACCTTTACAGCAAATGATCATTTGTAAAAAAAAATAAAAAATAAAAAATGCATCTGTGGAGTGATCAACAAAGCTAAATTTGTGAGTAGCCGCTCAAAAAAATGCACTGCCTCCTTTTATTTAGTGATATTTTCAGTTGCTTGGTGGATATGATTACAGTTTTCCATGGTAATGAGGAAAACACCCTCACATTGATTCATTGTATGAATGTTATTTTTTGTACACTTTTTAATTTTTCATCTATGCTTGGTTTTGTTTGTTTTTTGATTGTGTTCATCTGCAGTGATGTGGGTGTTGTTTCCGGTCTGTCGTGGTGAAGAGAGGGCTTCGCCTTCTGGCTCAGCTCTCGATTTACTGGTCGGCCTACGTTCCTACCCTCACATATAATCACCAGCTTTGGTTAGTAACTGAAAGAACAAGATCACAGATACAAACAGCTGAAATGAGTTTTCTCCCCTGGGTGTCTGGGCTCTCCCTTAGAGATAGGGTGAGAAGCTCGGTCATCAGGGAGGGGCTCGGAGTAGACCTGCTGCTCCTTCACATAGAGACGAGCCAGTTGAGGTGACTCAGGCATCTGGCTAGGTTGTCTCCTGGACGCCTCACTGGTGAGGTTTTCAGGTTCTTCCAACCGGGAGGGGATCTAAAGGAAGACCCAGGACATGCTGGAGGGACTATGTCTCTTAGCTGAACGTCTAACGATTCCTCCGGTGGAGCTGACCTGAGGGGCTGGGGAGAGGGAAGACTGAGCCCCCCTGCTTAAACTACTACTCCCACGACCGACCCCGGATAAGTGACTGAAAACTGATGGACGGATTGATGGATGGATGTTTTTAACTGTTCAGCACTTTGGTCGACAGACTTGTGTAAAAACTGCTATAAATTTGGATTAGATAGGAGTTTTACACTATTGATTTGTCAGACCCTCAGTAGCATGTAGAAGATCCAATAAGCTCCTCCTTCTTATTGGTCACCCTTCTCCACTCCTCAACCAGGAGTCGCTGAAGGTCAAACAGCAGGGTGCTGCTGGTTCTTCTACTGCATAGACAGGTGCTAATCGGTTGCTAATCAGGTATCAGCATTACACCTGACTGTCAAACACCTGGCAGCACTCAAAGCTCAAAACAAGAGTGAACACCTACAGAGCTAGAGATTTTGGGGGTGCTATCCACATATTTATATGCAATACACATCTCTTTAAGTCATCCTTCATAGTAAATGGGACAAATTTAGCTTCATAACAATTTAAATCTGACATTTTCCTGCATGCAACACTCGGCATGCTCTACTGCAACTTCTAAAGCATAATTTAACCCCTCTTTTCTTTGGTGTGAGAAAAGTTCTGTGTGGCACTTTTGTCAGTGTGGTTCCTAACAAGAATGTCTTTTTCAACATGATCTCTTCACACCTTGTCGTTAAACCTTCGCCATCCCTGTTTATGCTCCAAACTGACAAGGCTTCTATGATCCAAAGCAACTCAAAGGGCAGTGAAAACCAGCGAGACTCTCTGATAACTTGCCGTACAATGACATTAAATGTTTGCACCCTACTTTTTTCTTTCCTCAAATCCTCCCATCGTACATCTTTTCAACCCAGGTATTTCAACTCTGTGACCCTCCTCTTTGAACAACTCAGCCCTTCTTCAGTTAAATTTGAAAGTCCGTGTCCCTCAGCTGTAAGTGTTGCAGAATAAATGAAAATGACCTGACTTAACAGACTTAGCATAAAGCTGACTAATGCTCTAGATTAAACTTTTGCACAAAAAAGTCCCCAATAATTAGCATAAAAGGAACTAATACATGCAATCACAAAGAAGAAAAGTTATTTTATTTTACTTTTCTCTTTTCTTTGACCTTTCATGGTGCTCCTAAGGACTCTGCATAGCCAGTAGGTCAACCAGCCCCTTGACTTTCTCAGTGGGAATATGTCTGTCCCAGTTAGATTGGAAATGTTTTCTCTTTTTCTCGTTTTTTAATCCATGCCCCAGACCACTGGGCAAAATGTCACTGTCTCTTCTCTGGTACGTTTCACTTAGAGTCAAAGAGGCGTGCTGTTAGATACTCCATCACTCTCAGTCAGACACAATCCTTTAATTCCTTCACTTAAGTTACAAACTAAACATGATATCAATACATGATGCCATTTTATTTATTTATCACACATTTCCATAATAACTTAAGTAAAGTTGCTTTTCCACCTTTTATGGGCTGGCTTTTTCATTAATTTAAAGAGAATATGAAAACAAGACAGTTGTAAACACTCTTTAAATTATTAATTTTTGGGGGTATTCTTGTTTTTGTCTCTAATCACAGAACCCCGCTCGCGGCGGCGTCTTCCCCTGTTGTCGCCTGTCAGATGGAATGATTAATGGCGCTCGACCCGAACACATCCATCCTGCACCAGGGAAGAACTACCGATCACGGGGGATCGGTCACACTGCACCCTTCAGCTACGTCTCTGTCAGCAGCACCACCGTACCGAGCGCGGATAATCCAAGTAAAGCAGAACCAGAGATCGATATTGTCACGAGGGACGTTATCAATACCTGTTATGATAAAGCAATTAGGCAGCAAAATCAACAGCTGATTACACATAAAGAGGAAATAATCAGGACTTGTTTTTGATAGTTTCACGTCGTTTTTCTCTTTATCGTGCAGAGCTAAAACTTCCAGATCGTGACGTTCATCTAAATATTCCCAACTCTGAAAATTGTTCCAGAGAACTTGTTTCTTAGCAAAATTTGACTTTGTGCAAAAAACAAACAGATCTCTCTCTGATACGTGAATGAGTTCTCCAGCTCATCCACAAAAAACATCCAAAATACCCCCGGATCTCACGTTCTGGCGAGCCAACACGTGCAGATCTAACTCAGAGGCTTCCAGCCACCTCTCCTCTGTGCCACCTGGCACCAGAAACACGCCCGTGCCTGCGTGTCTCATCTTTTAAGGATGAATAGGAACAACTTACGGGATGTTGGCAGAGCTCCGCGCGTCCCGCTGACGTGGCAGAAAATCCAAAATACGATGGACAAAAACAACGTCGGTCTCTGTGCAGGACGGCGCATCTTTACGGCTGCTGCGTGTGTGTGTGTGCGTGTGAGTGTGTGTGAAGGGAGGGGGGGGGGGTGCAGGAGACCGAGGGAGAGGGACTACGGAGCTGGAGGAGGAGGGGGGCGAAAACGCCAGAGAAGATCCGTCAGCGTCGCTTTGCTGTTGAGGACTGACAGAGAGGAGCCTGGTGCAAGTACTCTCACTCTGCCGCTCCTCCTCTCCCCCCTATTTCGCTCTCTCTCTCTCTCTCTTTCTCGCTCTCTCTCTCTCTCGATGATGTAAGGATCACGTCGCCAAACAGGCTGGCCGATGCTTCAAAACGGAAATAAACCCCATCCCTTCTGCAGCTTCTTAATTGGCGACAACAGAACCCACGAACCAAGTTTGCAGTTGCCACTGGAGGATGCGTGCGCGTGCGTGTGCATGTGTGTCGGTGTATGTGGTTCCGGTAGTCTACGGAGTCATGACGGTGACGGTGCGCCTCTCCGAGCCGCTGAATTGATCTCCCTCTTGTCGTGCGCTCCGATGCGCTGTCCGTGGTGCTGAACTTATCCTGCTCCCTCTGCACGTCTCCTCGTTTCTCGCAGCCACACAGAGCCCCCCCCCCCCCCCCCCCCCCCCAACCCCCCTTGTGGAGGTGGTGTTATACCTTATCTTGTCCCCCTCGCAGCAAAGTCTCCAAACAAAAAAAGTACACTAAAAATATGTTGAAATAATGTATTCAAAACTCTCCAGTACTTTAGTTTTGAGTTTGGAACCTGCTTCTTGAACTTGAACACGTTTTAAACGTTTTAAAGTGGATGGATCGAGAAAAGATTCAGAACTGAAAAATTGACTCATGAAAACTTAAAGGTAATCATAGTATGACGCCACAGTTTACCTGGGATCTTCCAGCCTCTTTCTCACTACTTTTGTTCCGTGAAAAAGTAGATTTGGTCTTAAAATCTTTTAACTTTTATGAAGATGGAAGTGTTGAGAATACATTTACCAGACAGTTTTGCTTTTGCTGTAGCAGCTTCTAAAATGTTCTTGTAATTATATCAGCACTGAAAACGCTCTCATCATCTCGGCTTTAACACCATGTGAGATGTTTATTTATTTATTTATTTATTATTTTAGCTCATTATTGTGTTATTTTTACCTATTTAATAAATGACTGTTTTAGGTGTTTTCTCATCCTGTTTCTTTCCTGATTTATGCTGTATGATTGTTGATTTTAGTTGTTTTAAGTTTTTAATCTTACCGTGTTGCTGCTTTTACCCATGATTAAGGCTGTTTCATGCGTTTTGTTCTCTGTTAAGTATTTTAAGTAGTGCAAATGCTGTCACACATACAGATGAAACTGCAACTGAATATAATATCATGCAAAAGTTCATTTATTTCAGTAACTTACCGTAGACTGAAAGACCATCTAAAGGCTCAGGAACCCTCTGCAGATTTTCTGGATGCATTTGTCATGGTCTGCGTCTGCATCTCCCTCATGTGTCTCCTTGTGTGCTCCATCCCCCTCTAAGGATCCCCTTAGGTGTCTCTTTGTGTTCCTCATGTGTCCCCTGGTCTGCAGTCCTCCAGATATTCCCTCCCAGGTCCTGTGTTCCTTCAGTCTCCTCCAGTCACCCCTCTGCAGTTTTTTATAGGTTCAGCTTTTCATTTTATTAGTCTCTTCAGTGTGTTTTCCCACCGGTTTTTGTAGTTTTCCTGCCCCTTAGAATATTAGTTAATTTTGCTGGCTCTTCTTGTCTTTAGGTTTTTTACTCTTAGGTCATGTTAGTTTCCTCCCTGATTAGTTAATTGCTTTCACTTGGTTTCTCTCCCCACACACCTGCAGCCTATCTGCCTCCCATCATGCCCCAGTGTATATAACCCTGTCTGCATCTCTGTCTGTTGTTGGATCATTGTCTGTTGTCACCTTTGTCTCGCCCCCACCCCCACCCCCACCCCTGCCCCCAACCCCAACGTGATTTGGATCTTCATTTTTGGATTCTAGGTTTTGAATTTTGGGACTCTGATTTTTGTGTTTTGGCTCCCTGCCTTTTTGGACTTATTAAATAAAAGGATTTTTACGTTATTGCTCCCTAAGCGTCATCTGGTTTTCTTCATCTTTGGGTCCTAACCTCCTCTTGGCCCGCCATTGTGACAGCATTAGCTGAAGTGTGAAACTTGGAGTCTAGAAGACTGAACCTTTTCACAAATACTCAAATTGTTTGAGATTTTGAATTTGGGGGTTTCATACCCTGTAAAACTTATTCATCACAAATTTAACATATAAAAGCCTGAAATATCTGGATTTTCATTGAATGAGTATGTCTTGTATTAGTTTCAGTTTCACGTTTTAAGTAAAAAAAAACTGACATAAATAAACGTTTGCAAAATATTCTAGTTTTTCATATTCCTCCATAATGTTTAAGGTGCTTTATAAATAAAATTGATTGGATTGGATAAATTGTAATAATAAACTATAATTAAAAGCACAATAAAAGGTGTATTTATTGTAGACGATTAAAGGATGTTCTTTGAATTCCTGCTGCAGAAATAAACATGAAACTGAATTTAGTATTTAACAAAATGTCTAATTTTTGAATCCAATGTAATCGGTTCCAAAAATGTAAAAAAAAAACAACAATAATAAATAAATAAATAAAGCTAAACCAGCTTGTGTAGGAGCAAAATGTTTGAGCTCTTTTTTCCCCTAAACAGCCTACTTCTGGCATTTTCTTGCAAATATAATTAGTCGCCAACCCCCCACCCCCCACCCCCAACATTTGAATTTAATATTTAGCTTTTTATTGGCTGTAAAACACTAAAACACACCTTTGATCAGTTTAGTACAAACATCTTATCCATGGATGGAACACACAAAAACCCTCAGTACCAGTGCCGGAACTGGTTCTTAGCCAGGTGGTTGAGGAGGATCTCAGGAGCTTTCATTTTGTTTCACTACAAAGAAAATTGTGTGTTAATTATAGAAATATGGGAAAGAAGGCCTATTTGTTTTTACATGATTTCATTTTGGTCTTAAATTGTTGTAGTTTGTATGAATCGTCTTTATAATGATGATTCATACAAACTACAACATCTCAGATTCACTTGCATCATATTCTCATTTCTGCCCTAAAGTCTTTCTCTCTCTCTCCACCCATTCTCTCGCTTTATCTCATCACCTTTCAAACAATTAGAAAAGTTAAAACCTGAAATATTCTGATGAGAAAACATTTAGTTTGCCCTGTTTGAGGGGGATATTAAGAAAAAAAGGCATTAAGTGACAACTGAAAAAACCTCAATATGATATATTTGCCAGTGTCAAAATGCAAACGTAACCAAAGCAATTTAGCACTAATAATTCCACCAGATGAAAGAAAAATTGCTCATGCATCTATCTGGAACATTTGGTGCTGCTGGCAAAAAAAGTGCTTCAGCTCATCTGATGAGGCTCTGGGGGCACATCAATCAAAAGAATCTGGAAACCACCGCTGCACACAACTAATCTGTTCAGTTCCACCAAAGTAATCGTGGCTCGTTTGTGACGCTGCCATTTTTGCAACATGAGTAAAAGAAGAAAATTTAGTAGTAATCTTCAGATTGAGTCACTGATAGCCACATCTCATTGTCTGTTTTTTTTCTCTTTGCCCAGAACACAGTGTGGGATCATTATCACTGCAAAGAAAAACGATGACAGCAAATAGAACATCGTGAAAAAATACTCTGCTGATTCATAGGTCAAAACTTTAGATTGTTCTTATTTCACAAAATAAAAACACATTAAATCAAATATATCTGTTGCAACATGCATTATTCTGTATTTTAGCTTCTAATAAATTAAACTAAAATGGTTAGCTGAGTTGTGACGTTTAAAAGACTTTAAAGATGAATCTGTTGCCCCAATAAAAACAGCTACAGCTGGATTTATGTTAGTAATAAAAGGGTTTAGCAATATGAACAGCAACTCTATTAACAATCGTCAAAAGGAGGCATTAGGCCATGACATTTAGCACCTCAAGGCCAAATCTATCTTCACATTTCTGCACCAGTACCAGGAAATGGTCTGGCTGCACCTGTGATTTCTAGCATAAATGGAGAAACACACTTGCCTGTGTGTTATTGGTTAAGCCCATCTCAACCATCTTGAGCGACGACACGTTTAAAATCCATCCATCTATTCTCTAAATCGTTTCATCCCCACTAGGGCTGCGGGAGCTGGTTTCTATCTCCAGCGGTCAACAGATGGGGGGGGGGGTGTGCACCCTGGACAGGTGGCCAGTCAATCACAGGGACACATATAGACAGATCAAGTATAAAATGCTCAGAGAGGAATCTGTGTTAGCAGCAAGCAACAGAGTTTTGCAGTTTTATGTGCATTCCCTGAAGCTGTTTAGTTTGAGTCTTTGTCAAAATCTGCCAGTTTTATTTTATAGGTCGCAAAGGGAGATACAAAACATAAACATATAAATGCCTCAAGGGGAAGGGAGAAAAAATAAATTAAAAAAGAAGTTTTATGCAAAACGGTGAGTCATTCTAGTAGAAATTGTTCTTTTATAGATTGGATGAATCAAAGTAACACAGAGCAGTTTACTGCTCCTCCGTCCTACTGGTTGAAAGTGGAATTACAACAACCCTGCTGCAGCCTGCTGTAGCTAACACTAACGTGACCCAACTAATACTAAAATAAACTATGAAGTAAAAAGACCCACACTGTTGGACAAACTATTATTACTTACAAGTCCAGCAGCAACAAAGCTAGGTCAACATCAGTCTATGATTTTGTAGCCTCCTTTAGCTCCTTCAAACTAGCGCAGGCTGCACTGGTGTTCACTCCAGTTTTAGCTCTTTGTTTCTCCTCCAAAAGCATTATTCTCTTACATTTACTTCCAGGTTCTGCTACGATGCCAACAGAAAACGCAAACTTCTTCTTACTACGGCTAAAAGCAGGAAAAGAGCTCCCCCTATAGAGCACCTACCAACTCCACAAAACTGTTAGGTGTGGATTCTGGTCCACAGAGGTTTGTAGATTGGTGTCAGATATGAAACGGGTCAAGTTTCTAACTCAACAAACACTGAAACAAATGTTAAAGATCTAGTTTAAATAAAAAAAAACGTGATTTCAACTACTCCAAATAGTTTTTAACACTTAAAGCTATTAATTTCAAAGTTGTTTCAGTAATTCTTTAGGTAAAAACTTTACCAACTTCACATTGGACAGCACTCTGCTGCCCTCTGCTGACCGGAAACTGCACTTAACATTTTTCTGGTTCTGGTAGGAACACTAGCAGAAGCTCTTTATCTACTGTATCACCATTAGCTTTTTACTTTATTAGCTGATATAAAAGCATGCAGTTCGCTTCTCAGTTTGCCCACTGTCAATAAAAAGCAGAAGAAGAAAAAGAAGTTTACTTTCATGTTGTCATCATGGCGGAGCCTAGAGGTAAAAGGAAGAGAGTAATGTCTTTGAAGGTAAAGCAAGGAGCTAAAACCAGAGTGAACATGGGAACAGCCTAAAGGAGGCTACAAAATCACAGACTGATGGTGACCTGGCTTTGTTGCTACTGGACTTGTAAG